TTTAAATTTTGTGCATTGTAAGCATTTCCATTACACATTAGCATTATTTCCTAAATCATGATTGCTCAGTCACACTTGATACTTTGGTAAGATGTCAAGATTTCTGTGTATCCTGTAAGGATATTGTTTAAGAACCCAGAGGGGAAGGGCAAAAAATGTTGCAGCACACGTTGCTACAAGAATTTTAACTGAGCTGACCACGGATATTTCAATATCTTTTAGTTGCCTGGGTAAATCTGCTGGAACTCTAAATATAGTCCAGCTGGAGCCTCATGTTGCAATACAGAAAGGCTTGCTATTTCCTGCAGTTAATGAGGGTGATTATGAAGAAGATTGAGTGAGATTGAGCCGTTAGCCACATTAACCCTGTAACTGCATCGCTACCCTCTGTCTTTTGTATCAAAAACTATTGCACCATTGATGTCTCATAACAACAATGGTTTATATTTATGAAGGTTAATTTATATAGTGCCTTCATCATAACAAAATGTCCCAAGACACATCTCAGGAGCATTTTCAACAAAACTACAACACTGAACTATGTGAGATGTTACTTGGATTGAGGAAAAGCTTGGGCAAAGAGATGCATTTTAAGGACCATAAAGGATGAAATGAGTTAGAGAGGCAAAGTCGTCCAAGGAGAGTATTCTAGCGATTGAGTAGTTAAAAGTATGGTCACCATTGATGGAGATATTAAATTTGAGGATGTGTAATGTTGTGACATTGCGATGCCAACCACTGCCAGCTTGTGGTTGGATGATTTTCTGCCACCATCCTCTTTCCTTGACTAGGGCTAAGGACCAACTTGGTTAACAGCGATAGTGGGAAAAACACTAGTGGGCCTTAATGAAAAGGAGGTTTTTGTATTTAAGTAAGGAGTAGTATGACAGCAATTGAATATGATGTTATATTAGGAGGTTAAATATTGCTCCAAAGTCTGTAAGGAGACTTGAAGATAACAGATCTAGTCCTCTTTGAGATCCTAACATGTTTGTGTTTCTCCGTACAAGTTCATAAAACATAATCAGATTAGGTACAGCTTAATGCAGCCATCTCAGCCTGTTACGTGCTGCAAATTTACAGCTTTCCTCTTGTACGATAGGGATTTTTTATTTTACTCATGAAAGTCTGATGTCTGCTTGTTTCTCCAGGCAGTGATGTCCCATGGTTGAGATAATTTACTCCAAAACACAACCAACCTCCGTCAGCTCTCATTGATATTAGTTTTACTTGGATTTCTTGATGTCATACTTGCCATGCAAATGCCACTTCTGTGTTAAGAAGTCACTCTAGCCTCACCTCTGAGGTACAGCTCTTTTGCCCATAATTGGACTAAGGCTGTAATGAAGTCAGGAGCTAAGTGGTCTTGATGGAACCTTTTCTATCACTTTTCTGATTATTGAGAGTAGGCTGATTCAACAGCAATTGACTGGATTCGATTTATCCTGCTTTTTCACACAGGATGTAGCTGGCCAATTTTCCACATTGTTGGGTAGATGTGAGTGTTGTAGTTATATTTGAATAGCTTGGTTGGGAGTGCACTTAGTTCTGGGACACAAGTTTTTAGTACTATTTTGGAATGAGTCAGCTGTCCATAACACATTCAGTATACAGTGTCTTCGGCATTTTTTTTAGATGCCATGTGTAGTAAATTGATTTGTTTGAAGATTGACTGATGGTAGGGACCTCGGTAAGAGGTTGATTATCCATTCAGTACTCCTGACTGAAGATGAATATAAATAATTTACCTTGCACTGATATATTGGGCTTCCCCACTGTTGATGATGGGGATATTTGTGGAACAAACCTCCTCCATCTCCTGTTAGTTGTTTAATTGTCTGCCACGATTCACAACTGGATGTTGTTTACGCTATTTGCATGCACATAGTCCTAGGCTACAGTTTCACCAAGTTGATAACACATTAGTAAGTTGAACATTGCTATAAAGACGCTAAGAAAAGTCTTTGAGAATTTATAATGTTTTTCCTTGACATCATCAGATTGGGCGGACCTTACTGGAGTCTTCAACTTTAACACTTTCTGAACCATTACCTTATACGACACCAAGGCAAGAATTATAGCAGCACTGGTTGGAAGCAAGAGATAATAGAGTTTGGAACAGGTGGGACAGTGAAAGGCTATATAAAAACAAAATGAGAATTTTTAAATCATGAAATTGCTTGACTAGGAGCCAAAGTAGGTCAGTGAGGCAATAGGGGAAAGGGATTTGCTGCAAGGTAAGACACAGGCAGCAGAAAATTTTAGATTATGTCAATTTTACACAGGATAGAATATGGGAGGCCAACCCAGACTGCACTGGAATAGTTGAGTCCAGAGGAAACAAAAGCTCCAGGAGCAGATCAGTTGGGATGGAGGTGAATTTGGGTCAGAGTTACTGAAGTGGAAAAAGGTTATCTTAGTGTTGTCATGAGTCCAAGGTAGCAAGCTCAACTTGAATTCCAAGGCTGTGAACAGAGGACTTAATCTCAGTATATTAGCCAGAGAAGGGGATGGCATCAGCAGTGTTATGACTGAGTTAGGAATGGTGAACTGACACCTCTCTTCACACCACTCCTGAGTGAGCTACAATGCAGTTTGAGTTTATAGGCGGTCATTATTACCAATTCAATAAATGTATACTTCACTGTCAGTTGCTTGGTGGAAGATTCAGACAGCCACATTCCTTAAGTTAACAAGTAAAGAAGGACTTTTACTCATAAATTTTCACTCACCTCAAAGACAGTGAAATTATAAACAAAAGCCTCAACATATACAAATATTTCCAGCTTCAATTAGGGCAAAAGCAACAAACATGTTTCCTATAAGCATGCACATAAAAGTATACTCTGTTTCATATCACATCTGAAAATTTGGTCAACTAACAAGTCAGGAAAGAGCATCGCTGATGGGTTGTTCAGAGGTGTGCTACCAGCTTTAGGGCCATTTTTCATGCATTATCTGCTGCTGATGGAGTTTCTTACTCAGGCAGTTGTGCTATAGTTGGGATTGGATCAGTCTGTTATTCTTTTGAATACAGTAAGGTTGATTTAGAATTGTCCCGTAAGAACTCTTGCGTTGCAGCAATGAAATCTTCAGATGGGCCTTCAAATGAACAGCTTAGCCTTGAGAGATCTTTCAAAGAAAGCAAGAAGAAATAGGATAATTCTGTTTTCTCTCCGTCTTTATTATTTCAAAACCCAGCACCTTTTTTTGCATCTTAAAACTTGGGTTACATGAACTTTGTCTTGGCAAACTCAGTCTTGCAACATCCAATTTGTGTTCTTCACAAGTGCAACATCTCAGCTATTGTCAGCCAGTCTCCTTTTACTTTGACAAAAACAGAAATTGCTGGAAAAGCTCAGCAGGTCTGGTTGCATCTGTGGAGAGAAATCAGAATTAATATTTCAGGTCAAATGACCCTTCCTCAAAACTGTTCTAAGTAATTCTTCTTTGAAGTGTTCTTCTGAAAAATTCCAGCTATATCTAGCTGAGGATATAATAGCTTAATATTTTCAGTGACACTTCTCCTTAACAGGTCCTGACAGCATCTGTGGACAGAAATGAGTTAATGTTTTGGGTCCAATGACCCTTCCTCAGAACTCTGGGAATGGAGTTTGAAATGGGACTGGAAAACACAGCTTCAGTATGCCCAATATTTATTTAGAAAAAAATTCTACTCATTCAGCATTAGATTTTGGGTAAACAATCTAATATTTCAGCAATGGTGGAGTTGAGAAAGCTGGCAATGAGGTAGAATGGGATGCTGTAATTGTACATATGAAACCTAATATTGATATTGGATGATGTTAATCGGGTGTAGCATGTAGATGATAAAAAGTGGGGAGCAGAGTAACTCCTTAGGATATGCCATTGATGGAGGAGCAGAAAGAAAAGACATTGCAGTGATTCTCTGGCTACTACTAAATAGCCAGGAATAAAACCAGGTGAGGGCAGTCCCAACCAGCTGAACCATAGTGGAGAGACTTTGGTGGTGTGGTAAACAGTATCAAAACCTGCAGATAGGCTAAGATCGACAATGGGGAAGGGTTCATCTTTGTCACAGTCACGTAGGATGATGTGATTGGATCTTCCTCTGGAGAGATCTGTCTTTTTTTTCCCCCTTTGTTCATGGTTTGTGGGTATCGCAGGCAAGACCAACATTTATTGCCTATCTCTGAAAGCCTGTGTTGAGATAATGGTGAGTCATCCCCTTGAACCAGCGGAGTCCTTGTCACACAGGCATGTCATTAGGGAGGGAGTTCCAAGATTTAACTCTGGGACAATAAAGATGTAGCAATGTATTCCAACATGTTAGAACAGCAGGCCAGTTTAGAGTTGAACTTGGTGACTGGGTCTGAATATCACACATTTCTGTGTAATTTCTGAAAGCAACAATGCTGCCAGTTGAACACAAACCATGCACAGAGTTGAGACAGCCTCTGGCCAAGGAAAACTAGAGATTACAAACTAACAAATACTTTCTAATCAAAACCTTGTGGTTTAAGTTGGTCATAAATATCGTTTTTGCGTGTAATCTTTGGACTATTTCATTAATTTCACGATACTATTTCCTCTACAGATAACATTTCAATATTGTTTAGATAAATTCCGTAAATCCTTCTTAGTTAACATTTTAATTCTTCTTCAGCTCACTTATACTACATAGCTCTCACTATACATATCTTCCCCCAACACCACTGTTCTCTGATAACATCTTTGTAAATTCTAATGCAAAACAAAAGTTTCCCTCATGTGATTCCATGAACTTATGCATTTCTTTTCCATCCTCCATGTTCTGATTGAGAACATCTGAGTTCTTTTTCACGTAGTTTCATTCTTCTTCTAAGTGACTTGCTTATTTATTGGAGATTCAGTATTGCACAAATATGCCAGAACTTCTGATCTGCAGACAACTCACAATCATTGTTCTGTGAAAATTCCATTCTGCCTTACTTGGGACAAATTACTAAAACCTAAAACCATTTTGTCTTTTCTTTTAGACTCCACAAAGAAACTTAAAGATGTTCTGGAAGAATTCCATGGATCTGGTGTACTCGTGAAATATAACCCAGAGCAGGTATTTTAGATTCCATTTCATCTTAATGTTGAACATTTTAAGAGAAACATCATAGACTCATGTTCTGTCTTCCCATTTCCATCGAGAATTAAATATTAGAACACTGAGAGGAAATAATCACATGCATTCTAGTTTCTTTTATGTCTCAGGATGTAGGTAATGTATCATTTTCCCATCCATAATTGCAAGTGCTTTTATGTTTGACTTTATACAACTAATTAACTGTTTGGACACTTTAGATGGTATTCAGTCAACTGTTCTGTCTGGAACTGATTCAACATATAGGCCAGTCTGAGTAGGTATGACAGGTTCACTTCTCTAAAAGGTATTAGTGATCACGTTGGGTTTTTGCTCCAAGTCATCAGTTTTCATGGTCATTTTCTCCGGTGCTGGATTGTAAATTATGAGATTTATTGACATGTATTTTGCAACTTGAAGTAAAGATGACACTATATCTTATGTCTCTGTCACTTAGCACACTTACTGTTAATTGGAGTCATTTTTTTTATTGACTGTTCTTTCCACAGAATCTTGACTGCATCATTGATTCTGACATTCATGCTTGTCGGTGTCCTTGTCATGCCTTATTAATGGATTTTTTTATGAAATGTCTATTCAGAAAAGTAGATGCAGGCACCATATGGATATATCAGTGCTTTTGCAGTATAAATATGTCTTCAGTCTATACTCAATCTGTCAGTCAATAGCATGGTAAACATTCAGTACCACGTTACCCCTCAATTAAAAAGTAGCTGTAGTCAAGATGCCAAGCAATACAATGACAGAATCTTGCTGCGTTTCAATTTGGTTGACTAATATTGATCAGAATAATTATAGCTCATGTCGTTTCAAAGATGTCATTTTAGATCATACTGCAGAGTGGATCAGGAAAGGAAGTGATGAATTTGCAATAGATTGTTCATCACATCTTTCAAAAGTGCGGCACTTCTCTTGCAATGTTTAGACAAGGTTTTCTAAACAAAAAATCTGTCAGTGCTTTCTAACATTATCAATTCCCAGTTTTCAAATGTACAGCAATATTTGAATTGATGGATCCATGTTAGAGAGTAATGAAACAACATAAGATAAAATAAATAATTAAATGAGCATTATTGGAATCAAAACAGCACTTCACATGATTTAAAGTGGCAGTGAAGTATACCATGCAGATTTTAAGGTGATTGCATTTATTTAATGTTGCATCATGGGAACCCATCATTTGATCCAGCAACTCTGCACAAACATTTTTATCTAACAGTTACCACGATTTTTAAATGCCACGTCCTTGATCATTCCCCATATTCTTTAGTATTCAGGAACAAAAACAAATTTGCTGGAAAAGCTCAGCAGGCCTGGCAGCATCTGTGACGGAAAAAAAACAGAGCTAACGTTTTGGGTACGATGACCCTTCCTTAGAACGGGTCTTTCGTATTCATTTCTTTAAGAAACTACCTGACTCCTTTCACAACAATGTGTGTTGTACAACAATTTGTGTACTTAGCTTGAAAACAAGTTGTCGCAAGGAATTCCAGAATCTTAACTTGCCATTCTGTAAGCTTTGAGCCATGCCACCATGTTCGGCAGCATGGTGAGTTGAAGTAGAAACTGTGATTAAAGGAAAGGGATTTGTCATGCTAGGTGCAATCAGCCCATTTTATTGTACTCCATTGTTTTAATGACCATGCTGAAGTTGAGAGTAACAGGGTTGTGCTGGATAACTAAGAATTAGAGACTTAATCGATAAAGTGTGGAGCTGGAGGAATGCAGCAGGTCAGGCAGCATCAGAGGAACAGGAGAGTCGACATTTCAGGCCTAGACCCTTCATCAGGACTGGGCAGGGGGAAGAGAGCTGGGAAATAAATAGGGGGAGGAGGGATGGGGCTAGGGGAAGGTAGGTGAGATGGTGATAGGTGGATGCAGGTAGTGAGAAAGGTGGGGTGGATAGGTGGTGCAGGAGGTGGATAGGTAATGTCAGGTCAAGGAGGTGGGGATGAAAGGGAGGGTTGGACACGGGATGAGGCCGGGCGTTGGGAGATTTTAAAACCGGTGAATTCTATGTTGAGGCCATGAGACTGTAAGCTCCCGAGGCAGAATGTGATGTAGAGAAGGCCACATCGGGAGCAATAGATACTGTAGACCAGGTTGGCGAATGTACAGGTGAACCTCTGTCAGATTTGGGAAAGTTTGTCTTGGGCCTTGAATGGAGGTGAGGGGGGAGGTGTAGGGGCGGTGTAGCACTTTCTGCGGTTGCAGGGAAAGTGCTGGGTGTGATGGGGTTAGTGGGAAGTGTGGAGTGGTCGAGGGAGTTGCAGAGCAAGCAGGCCCTACAAAAGGCAGTTGGGATTGGGGAGGGAAATATCTCTGGTGGTGGAGTTGGATTGTAGGTGGCAGAAGTAGTGGGGAATGGTGGGCTGGATATGATGGGGTGTTGTGTGAGGACCAGGGGGACTCTATCTTTACTTTTGTTGGAGGCAAGTGGTTTGAGGGGAGAAGTGTGGGAAACGCGAGAGATGCGGTTGAGTGCAGTTTTGATAAATGGAGGGGGTGGAATGTTGCGATCCTTGAAGTAGGAGGACATCTGGTATGTCCAGGAGTGGAACGCCCCATCTTGGGAGCAGATGCAGTGGAGGCAGAGGAATTGGGAGTGAGGGATTGCATTCTTGCAGGGGGGTGGATGAGAGGAGGTGTAGTCAAGGTAGCTGTGGGAGTCAGTGGGTTTGAAATAGATATCGGTGCTGAGACCATTAGTGGATGTGGAGACAGAGAGGTGCGGGAAGGGGAGTGTGGTATCAGAGATGGCCCAAGTGAATTTGAGGTTGGGGTGATATGTGTTAGTGAAGTTGAAGAAATGTTCAAGCTCTTCATGGGAGCACGAGGCAGCGCCAATACAGTCATCGATGTAGCGGAGGAAGGGGTGGGGGATGGTGCCTGCGTAACAGCGGAAGAGGGATTGTTCCACATATCTTATGAAGAGGCAAGCATAGCTTGGGTCCATATGGGTTCCAATGGCCACCCCTTTGGTTTGTAGGAAGTGGGAGGAGTTAAAGGAAAAGTTGTTGAGAATAAGGATAAGTTCCATTAAGCAGATAAGGGTGTCGGTGGAGGAGGATTGGTCGGGCCTGCAGGAGAGTAAGAAATGGAGGGCTTTTAGGCCATCTGCTTGAGGGATACAAGTGTACAGGGATTGGACGTCCATTGTGAAGATGAGGTGTTGGGGGCCAGGGAACTGGAAGTCTTGGAAGAGGTGGAGGGTGTGGGTAGTGTCCCAAAAGTAGGTGGGGAATTCCTAGACTGGGGGGGAAAGACAGAGTTAAGGTAAGCGGAGATAAGTTCAGTGGGGCAGGAGCAGGCAGAGACAATGGGTCAATCAGAGCAGTCAGGTTTGTGGATTTTGGGATGGAGATAGAAACGGGCGGTGCGGCGTTGGGAAACGATGTGCTTGGAGTCTGTGGATGGGAGATCTCCTGAGGTGATGAGGTTATGGATGGTCTGGGAGATGATGTTTTGGTGGTCAGGGGTGGGGTCATGATCGAGAGGGCGGTAGGAGGAAGTGTCAGAGAGCTGGTGCCTGGCCTCCATGATGTGGAGGTCAGTGCGCTATAACACCACTGTGGCCCCCCTAATCTGTGGGTTTGATGGTGAGGTTGGGGTTGGACCAGAGGGAGTGGTGGGCTGCGCGTTTTGTGAGGAAGAGGTTGGAGTGAGTGAGAGGGGTGGAGAGGTTGAGGTTGATGTCATGATGGCATTGGAAATGAAAGGGTTGAGAGAGGGTAGGAGGCCATGGGGTGGTGTCCAGGATGATGGGGATTGTTGGAGGTGGGAGAAGGAGTCAGTAGAGGGTGGGTTAGACTCCAAGTCTTCACATTGCAGCCATTCTGCACCATTTTAAGAACAGGCTACAATCAGCTCACATACTCTGTCTTCACTTTAATACTCACACTGTTCTGATAATACATTTAAATTTTATTGTCTGGTTGATTTTGTGGGGAAGCACAAAATACCTCATTGAAGTGTGGATTTCTGTCTGCCACTTGAAGAGTGAATGTCCTCAAAGTTGTTGTCTTACTCAGATTACTTCAAATTGTGATGGGGTGTATGGTCTTCAAAGTTTTGTTTTCTTGGTCCAGCTTTCTCATTAGCGATGGAACAGACATTTGCAAAGTGCAAACTCCACAGAAATCAAAAACTATTGATCTATGAATGCCATAAGAAAATAGAAGGAAGCGAGTCAGAAGTAAGTAACAGTACAGCAGCAGCAGTTTGGAGACAGCCAAGAGTAAGGAAGAGAGCATGTCGGTAGAATGCAAAAATAAGGAGAAAAATGAATAAGGAGATATCGAGGAAAGGGAAGACAACGCACAAGCATTAAAAAAGCAGAGGATTGTGGATCAGGAGCAGCAAACACCATAATACTGGATTTTGTAAATTCATAGATATTATGATCTGTGCAAAACTATGAAACAGAAACAGAATGGAGAAGCTGAGCAGTATATAGCTTGAGCTGTCTGGTTGCCCAGTCTATATGAACTACGCAGTTTCACAGTGTAGTGACTGAATTAAACTAATAAAGTACAAGATGGAATTTGATAGCTGTTCCACATCTATGTTTCCACTGGTGCTCAGTCTGAAAATCCGCAATCCTGTTTAAAATCAAAAGCATTGTTTTGGAAAGGCTTGCAGTGTAAAGTTTAAAAGCATAGGCTGTAATTGCCACTCTGTGTGGGTTTTACATGTACTTTGTCTTCTGTTAAGTAAAAGAAGGAGGCAGTCATCAAATGAACATAAGACCAGCATGATTGCTGGAAACCAATACTACTGAAAAGCAGTTGGGATACATCAAAAGCAAAGGGATGGATATGCAATAAGAGAATAAATGCAGGGCTGATTTTCACTCAGAGTTGGTAAAACCCATTTGTCAAGACCCTGCTTACACATGAATATCAGACTGACGAAAGGCGTGTATTTCTAATGTCCCAGTTCTGACTTGTTTCCCTTTTTGA